AAAAAAAAAAAATGAATTTAATAATAAAGACATTATAAGTTATCTTAATTACTTAATACAGATTAATATTTAACAACATTTTTTTAAAACATTTTTTATTACAAAAGTATAAAAATAGTATATTGACTAATAAGATTAAAAATATCAAGTTCATATTACGCAATTTATTAATTTAAAAAAATTGTACAAACCTCATCGGCAAATAATTTAATATCATCATCTCCAATGGTTAAATTTATAGAATCTTCATTATTATCATCTTTGTTTGTCTCTTGAATGCATTTTTCCTAAAACCAGAAAAGTGATATTATAATCTCAAAAAACAAGTAACATAATTAATTTTTTTAAAGAGATTTTATTAATCGAAAAAAAAACATATTAACATGAGATTTAATAAAACATACTTTTTTAATTCTTACAGGAAAAAACTTTAAACTAACTATTCTTATATTATTATCCTTAATCTAGTAGCTTATATTTACACATTTTAGCTTCGATGCTAACCTGAGAAGGTAATAATTTTTTTTTTTTTTTCAATATTTATTTATTTATGTAATATACAAGACACAATATAATCAAACAGAAAAAAAAAACAAATAAATATTGAGTACGCCACAGACGGCAATGAGTACAGAATATAAATATAAAATATCCAAATAATTAAATAAGTACAGCATACATAGAAGTTTAAATTATTAACATACAAAATTAATAATTAAAATACATCGCTACATATAGATTTTAACTTGGTTAAATGGTCATTAAAGAAATCAAAATTTTTAATTAAATTGCAAAAATGTAGCATTCTATTGACCGGTGAATAATAACTTTAATTCTGACAATATGAGTTAACATAAAATAAATTATTAGATCGGAGATGAAAATTAGGAACATTAAAGGGAATTAGACTTAAAATTTCTGGACAATCTACATTATTATTAAGGAGATTATAAATCCAAAAAACATCATTGCATTTACTCCTGTAAGCAAGGGAAGTTAAACCAAGAGAGATTCGTATTTCATCGATCGACACATTATAATCCCTAGACTTAAAAGAAATGAAGTGTAAAAAACGTCTTTGTATAGATTCTATTCTATTAATTTCACCTATTTTATATGGACACCAAATAATAGATGCATATTCTAAAATTGATCTTACCAAAGAAATGTACAAGGTTTTGATACACAAAATATTATTGAATTCATTACAATTTCTTCTCAAAAAGCCAAGTGTTCGTGAGGCTTTNTTTCTCCTCAAAAAGCCAGGTGTTCGTGAGGCTTTATTGTAAATATAATCTATATATGGTTAGGAAAAGATAAATCGCTGGATAATATAACTCCTAAATCTTTAATACTATAAACATTATGCAAATTACAACCATCAATCGTATACTGATTAATATTTACATTTTTAGAACGAGTAAATGTTATCTGATGACATTTATTTGTATTAATTACTAATCCATTTTTTTACACCATAAACTGAATTTATCTAAATCTGATTGTAATTTACCACAATCATCAACTGATTGAATGGTCATAAATAACTTAAGATCATCTGCAAAAAGCAGATAGTTGCAGTGTTGAAAAATTCGACATAAATCATTAATAAAAACGATAAAAAGTAAAGGAGACAAATGGCCACCTTGTGGTACACCTGAAGTAACATTAATTATATTCGAAGTAAAATTACCTATTTTGATTTGTTGATTTCTATTTTTGAGAAAGGAAGAAAACCACGCAAGCATTGGATTACCTACACCCAAAAGTCTTAGNACAAGCATTGGATTAGCTACACCCAAAAGTCTTAGCTTTTTTAACAAAATTGAATGATCAACTTTATCGAAAGCTTTTTTGAGATCAGTATATACAGCGTCTACGCGGCCTCCAGAGCTTATATCGGATATTAAAGTAGTGTAAAAAATAAGAAGATTTGTTATAGTTGATTTTGATGAACGGAAGCCATGTTGATTATTAACTAAAATAGGTTGAAATGTATATGCAAGCTTAGGTAGTAATAATTTTTCAAATAACTTTGGTAAGACATTAAGCTTAGATATGGGGCGATAATTAGTTACCTCACTTCTATCACCAGATTTAAAAATAGGATATATAAAGCTAAATTTCCAAAGATCTGGAAAACAACCAGATGATAAAGAAAGGGAATAAAGGAAGTGAATCGGCCGGGCAAGAGCACAACGACAATTATTAAGAAATATTTCAGAAATTAAATCAGGTCCAGTTGAAGTGCTATTTTTAAGATGAGAAAGACCTTCATAAATATCTGATAAAGATAAATCACACTTGGAAAAATCAATTTTATCACCTTCGTAATTATCCAAAGACAACGGATCAGTATTATGTGCTGAGAATACTGAACCAAAATATTCACCAAAAATATTAGCAATGTCTCTCATATTATCAAAGCACGAATTCTCGTACTTCATTACATTAGGTAGTCGGTTTACATTTTTACATTTTATTAAATTTTATGCAAATATTTTTTTTTGTGTATAAGGGACTTTAATTCTTTTGAAAACCATAGTGGAAAAGAAGATTTATAAGAGTAAATTTTAGGTACATTAGCATCTAACACTAGAGATTATTTCATAAAACTTACTTAATGCTGAGTTAATTTCATTTAAATTATAAAGACAAGACCAATCTACATCATTTAATAAATTAACTAATAAAGGAAAATTAGCATGGTTAAAGTCATAATACCATGTATTATTCTTATATCTTGAATTATAACTATCATAATTGTATACATTACTAATTAATAATGATGGATGATACCTATCGGGAGAAACTAAATTATCATTAGACCGAGATACCAGAGTTGAATTATTATTAACAAAAACTAAATCTAAAGAATTATTAAAGTCGTTTAACACAGTATTATTTTGATATAAATTTAAAAACGAAAATTTGTTAAAGATTATATTAGCACCTGGTAGATTATGACCAGAATATATAAGACCAGTATCATCACATGAAAATTTTACACCGGGTAAATTGTAATCACCAGCTAATATAAAGTGAGTATTATCAGTCATAAAGTAACTGAACAAAGAGTCTACTGCTTCCACGTGAGCTTCATACAAATTAGGAGGACTAGAAGGGGGAATATAACAAGTTCCTAAAAGAAATTTATGACTATTCCCTACTCTAACTAATACAAAAATTTGTTCAACATTTATAACTGGTATTGATAATATTTCAGCATTAAAGCGTTTGTGTACACAGATAGCTACACCACCACCTCGATTGTGCGTACTAGTACTCATACACCGGTCATATCTAAATACATTATAGTTATCAAAACCTAGTTCAGAATCAGAAATAGAACCATTTAACCAAGTTTCAGTTAACAAAAAATAATCAACATTAATAATTGGAATACTAGTTTTGAGATTGTGAATTTTAGTTCGCAAACCTCTTAAATTTTGATATAAACCAGTGAAAGTTTTTTTCTTATTAACAACATTTTTTTTTTTTACTTTTATTAAATAATTAAAATACGATAAATTATGATTNACTTTTTATGAAACAATTAAAATACGATAAATTATGATTAGATAAAGAATAAAAATCAGGAAATTGATCATTATAACTTACAGAATTATAAAAAGGATTAATTAGTTTTTTGGACATATAGTAGGTACACCTTTGAGAAATTTTATAATCAAATTTGCTTCGCCTGCTAAACGTTTAAGGTAAAGTTCATCTTTCAGATTCCTTATATGAATTCTTTGATTGTAAGTTAAATCAGCATTGACATAAACTATTTCCCATTTTTTAATTGCTCGAAGTTTAGATTTATTTTTTAATAGCTTAGAAACGTCAGCTATAGAATCGCATTCGACAAGTATTGGTCTAATTCTGTATATGTGTACGTTTAATTTACTATGATGTATCTGTTATCACTTTTTTCAGGTCTCAACAAATCGATTTCTTTCAACAATATGTCAAAAGATTACAGATTGTATCTAGTTTAAGACACTACCTTCAAAAATTGAAAAAATTTCCCTTGTTCCCCGAAAATGGAGGAAATCTCCAAAAAAATTACAATTTAAAAAATCGCTAATTTTTGACATTTTTTACTTAAAACTGCCATAACTTTTTTAAAAATGACCAAATCAATATAATTTTTTTTTCTTTTTTATAGATACACGAGGTATTTATCTATCATTTTGTATATTTTTTTTTATATAAATGTGACCCTTTACCTTTACCTGAGGGGATTCAAAATTACAACTTTTTCAACTTTTGAAAGTGTTCCGGAAATACTGACACTTTTCTATATATCTTAAATATAATCAAATGTAATATACTTTATTATGAAAAAAAATGTTCATGATGAAAACAAAAGTAAATAAAAAAAAATTTCTTTTTATATTTTTAATTTTATAATGCTCTAACTTATTGAAAATGTAACCACTTTCATTCGATATATTTTTTTTTTAATTCGAACCATTTCCCTTTATACAAGGGTGGTTTAAAAATTAAAAAATGCGTATAGAAAGTAGAACTTTTTCAACTTATTTTTAATTAAAAAATTTTTATACGTAACCTAATATTCAAACATAAATATTTGTCATATTAATTACAAGGATTTTGTAACTATTTAGGTCATATGTGAGACTCTAATTGCTGATTTGAAATCTGCGCAAAAATGGGTTTAGAAAAGTATATTTTGGTGTCTGATGAAAATTTCTTGTAGATCAGTAGATTTATTTATAAATAACAATTTTTTTTTTAAGTATTGCATCAAGACCTTCAACTTTTATTTACGTTTGCCATAAAAGTAGTAACTACTTTACTCAATTATTAAATATCAATTTCATACTATATTTAATTGCTATAATATATATTTATACATATATTACACTCATAAATCATAAAACTTGTAATTAGGATATAAATAAGGTGATAGGAGATTATGTTGCTTTTGGCATAATCCATCAATTTTTTTCACACTATCTACAGATTTGCATTGAAGCGTTTTTTATGATTTTAATCACTGTCAGATTAAATCTATACTGGACCAAACTGTCCCCACTGTTTTGGGTTTATATATATTATTTTAATTATATATATATATATAATAAAAATATACAAATCACAAAGTAAAACCTTAAAAATAATTTATAAAAATAAGGGAACTTACTAAATCATCAATTTGTTCAAAAACATCTGTATTTCCTTTAATATCTTCTTCATCAACTTCATGATCTAATTCTTCATCTTGAATATAGTCCTCGTCAACAATATCTTTAGATTTTATTTCAGAGAATTCAACAGTTTTATCATTTTGAGTTATTTCATCTTCAATAATATTACTTTCTGTTTTTAACTCTTCATTTATTATGTCTTTTAAGTCATTTTCTTGAGTTGTCTCATAATTTTCATTTTTTAAAATAACACTTGAATTTTCAACTTCATCATTTTTTACATCTGGTTCATTTTGAATTTGATCACTTACATCCTTTGAAAAATCAGTTTCATGGTGTGCATCATTACTGATTCCTTCTACAGTATTAAAAATTTCTTTTGCCTCGGCCTCATTTGAATCTAATATTTCAGTTTCAACTTCTTCATTTGTTATAGATTTTGCATCATTATTAGGACTAACGACATTGCTGCTATCAGGTTGTTCTTCTTTTATAATTTCATCATTTTTTTTCTTCAAGGAATTGGTACCAATTTTTTCAACCTTCACTAATGGTACACAAGTTTCTAAAAATAAAAAAATTAATTGTATTTAAAAATACTTACATAATTTTTAAATAAAAATTATTTAAGAGAAATGAAATCATTAGTCTTTTTAATACTTGTTCCTTTAATAAAGGAACAAGAGATATACATATGAGGTACCTAGAACACAATGGATATAAGTAACATTTTCAAAAAAAAAAAATGAGTTAAGCGCATAGATGTATAACAAATTTTTTATTTTATTTAGAAGTAAAGAGAAATTAGTGAATTATTGATTATTTTCTGTGATCTAGTAGAAAATCACTTTTTCCCTAAACAAAAACGCTATCTTGATTAGAAGGAAATAGGTATAAGCACACTTATATCTTTCTGCTACCAAACTATATCAGCTATGCCTCTTTACTACTAAGTGTATTTATTGTTTTTATCAATAAAAAATAAAAAAATGAATAACAGTGATAATATGATAATAAATTATTATTTTTAATTTTATATTAATTATATTCAAAGTCATTAAACGAAAATCAATTTAGAAAAAAATTGTTTAATAATAAGTAGTTGAGAAAAATAACTTCATTTTTATTTGCCAGGAAATATAAATGAAGAAAATAATGTGTGATAGTAAGCTGTTTTTAACTATTTACTTTGAATAGCAATTTTAGTTTAGGCCTAGGTTAATACCACAATGTGCTGGAATCTAATAAATGTTTCTATGACTTTAATTTAAGATGATGACTATTTGTTTAATGGAAATGATAGTGATGCAGACAAGGACTATACACCACAATATAATAATTATAGTTCAAAAACCTAATCATTAGAACATAATATTGTTAATTACCAAGTATCACAAGTGATACAAACAATTAGGAAGTCAGAAGAATTGACATGGAAGCAAATGAAAATTTAGATGTTAAGAAATAAAGGTATGACTTATGTAGATTGTAAAGGCAAAATACACTAGAGCAAAGAATTAATAGAGTTCAATCATAGATATAGATATAAATAGAACACTAATTTATCCAAAGATATCTGAAAAGAAATTTTCAAGAATTATTGGGAAATTAAAATTGGGAGTAACAATCAGCATATTTAAATAGCGCAATTACATTGAATAGTTTGTGAAAAAATGATACAGCAACAACCGTAGGATTTGTATCATGTGTTAACACTTTTGGAGAATTTGCTAAGAGTTCTTTAAGAAAACACTTTGCATATCTAAAAGACGATAATATAAGTTAATAGTAACTAATATAAGTAAGAAAAAACACACTAAAGAGATGAATGTTATATGCCTTTATTTCATTTTGAAGTAAGACTATAAGTGAGATACAGGTTCAAAAGTGAACCATAGATTCAAAAATATATTGACCAAACTATACATTATCTTGTCAAAACTTTTAAACATACAAAAAACACAAATCAATCATATAATCATACATAACCTAGTAGTCTGATTTATGAGAACGTGTGAATTTGATCATTACAAAATCAAAAAAATGTCACTTATACCCCTTATGTTTTAGATGCCTCATATAAAAACAAAATAACAATTTTATTTTTTTCCCCCATTTAATGCTTATTATATTTAAATATTGGTAAAGTTTAATGCTCTATTGATAGATTATAACACATGAAATTTTTATAAATCTACTAATTACTTTGATCCTTCAGATTTTTACAAAATCATTTAAATAGCTTGAAATATTTAAGTGGATAAATGTTCTATGATAAATTAGATTATTAAGAGAATATGAAAATTAGAATTTTTTTAAGTGGGTGTCTTGGTTTTAATAAAATTAACTAATTATTTTTTAAAAACAAGTAGGTTTTGCAAAACTTGACTTGTTGTTATAAAATTGAAGACCTTTATACGAGATTTTAATTATAAAATGAAAGAAATATACGATAAATTATAAATAACATTTTAAATTAAAATTATTCTAATATTAAGTCATTACAAGTAACCTAAAAGTAGTCAACACAAGATGTACAACAGAATTATAATATTACAAGCCAAAAAACATTCGATAGAACTTACTTGATTTTGGACCAGGTCTCCTACCTACAATATTAGTTTTAACAGTTTTAGTAGGTGTAGTTGTTTTCTTTTCGGCTACATTAACTGTTTTAACATCTTTTTTCTCCATACTAGGAGACCTCAAGTTACTTTCAGCAGTCATTGATTTCTCGTTGCTTTTTAGTTCACACTTATCAAATAAATAACTTTCTGGATCTTCTCCCTCATCAATTAATGCCTAAAAAATAAAAATATTAATTTTAAAAGTTTTATGTATGATGATTATAGATTAAAAAAAGTAATATTAATGTTATGAGTTTATTTATGTATTAGTTATTGTTGATATAAAAGGATTGATCTCATAAACTGTAAACAACTTTTTATTATGATAATGGAAATATAAAAACTAAATATTACAGGTGTATATATATGTTCAATAATAACTAGAGTGCAAATTTATTATGTTCTCTTAACATCAAAATATGTACTTATAAGCCAATAAATAATAATTAACAAAATAAATAACATTATTGAAAAGTGACTGTTAAAAATAACATTTTTAACTTTAAATTTATAAAAATAAGTTTAAGAACACAGATCAAAATAATAAATAAAATAACATTTTTTTGATAAAATGTATAAAATTGTTTTAAGTATAGATAAAAAAATAGTAATTTCATTAACCAGTCTTATGGTTTTCCTTAAATATATAAAAAACGGGAAATCATGTAATTTATGTATAATATTTTAAATAATTTATTACAATGTATTGTTTCATATTTTTAAGAAACATGAGTTTTTTCTCCTATCATTTAAAACATGTTTATGAAATTAAAAGCTTTCTCTACATTTAATGATTTTATTAGTGAAAATTTCATGTTTGAAGTCATATCTAAAGAAAATTTGTTAGTATATATATCCATCTTCATTTCCAAATAGCACTTTTTGTATATCTAACAAAATTTGAAATCCTAAAAACATCTTCCATTTTGAAACAAATTTGTTAGCCTTTTTCTCTTGGGGTGCTTTGCATTGTGTTAAACATGTTTGTACAACTTCTAATTGTTTTTTTAAACTCAAATTCGATTGTTCTAATTTTTTTTATACATTTTACAAGTATTTTGTATCATTTGACTACCTAATAATTATCATAATCGTTTTCATTTAATGTGTATTTATGATATGTATATTAATAGCTACAAGCAATTTATTAATAAACATAGATTTGCTTGAAAAATATTTTTAAATACTTTTTTTTTTTTGAGCAAGAATTAGTAGTGTTATGGTGAAAATACATAAAAATGAGCTCCCCCTGTCATAACGTAATGAAGGCAAATTTTTAAATGCTTAGTGGCGGAAAATATGTGAATACGCCCCTGCACACAATTATTAATACAATAAACAAGATACTGTAATACAAATATAAAATAACCACACACAAAGTATTGACAAATGTTTCACTAACAGGCTATAATAGTATACCATCAGACTGTAGTAAAAACACCAATTAAGTTATGACATCAGTATATTGGTTTTATAGTAAAATTAGAGGAGTAAAACTATATGGAGTTGAATGGCTTATAAGATGACAATATCATAAAACTTAAGTATACAAATAATTGCAAATTCTCTTAACTCATACAATGAGTATGAAATATTAACATGATAAAATAAAATAGTAGTTCTAAAAAAAAACGCAACACACATTAATAGGACAGAGTGAATAAATTGGAGGAAGCATCTAAGAGTACTACACAAGATAATTAAAATAAAAACAATAATGTGGCAAAATTCTCATTTAACATAAATTACTTCTTCAGCTTCTAAATGATTTACAATATGATGATTTTACCTTCTGAAGACGTTCTAATAACACGGCCTTTACACCAGACTTATCCAAGTCACGTTTTTCTAGTTCAGTACGAAGTTCAGGCACTTTTAAATCGCTAATTTTACGAGTTTCTATTGTATCAGACATCATAAAATTAAAATTAAAAAAATTTAAGAGTTTGTAAAAATTATAAAATGTAAGTTATAAATACAAAAGTTTTCTTAAGATAAAATATTGATACCGGATACAGTCTGACGCAAAAATGCAAGAACCAAATTCAAAATGGAGAATGAACATTTGATATTATATATAAGTGTTTTTAAGGGCAAATTAGAATACCTCGTAATATAAACCAGGTTCTCGAAGCATTTTGTTTGTGATACGTCATAAGTCCAAAGACGATAGAAAATCGTTGCAAGGAAAATAAATAAACCAATATCAACATATAAATTTAAGTGTTATAATTATTAATTTTTTCAAAACAATAAATTAGCATGCACAATAATAGTAAAAAAATATAATTCAAAATTATTTATCTACATTTTTCTTTCACGAAAGAAAATTGTACTGTGTTTTTATTGAAATTAAATAGAAAACAAATTTTAGATCATTGTTACCGTACGCCACCACAGTACAAGAGTATTTTTGTATCCTGAGTAAGGCCTTAAATATTGGGGGGCCACAATGATACATTATCTAGTAATCTACTAATAGTTTTATACTTAATAAAGTACCAAAGAGAGGCCCTGCTGCTCCAATTTTGGCCTTGACGCTTTTGAGTTTTTCTAGTATTTTGTGCTACATGGACCCGAAAGTGTGTTTAATAAAGGGAAACAAACCAACAAATCCGTTATTTTCTCTTAAAAACATAACCAAAAAAAATGTAATTTATTTTATTTATCTCATGAATTTTAATGATAATTACGATCAAGTAATTTGTAGTACCTATTCACCCAACAAAAATAAAAACTTGGAAATAGTAATATAAATAAGACTGGCTTGTTAGCTTTGTTTGGACTAAACATACATTTAAATTAACAAAAAAATCCTTCATTTTTTTTATATAAAAAATTAAACCCTCCAATTAATCTTAAATAATGTTATTTATATTAACAAATTTTTTATTGTCCTTAACGGTAATTTTTGTATGTACGGACTTGCACCAAGTATAAAACCCCCAATTTCGGTTATTGAATATTAACTAATTATTATTTTTTTTACTATTCTTACTATTATTCTCCAAAATACTTTCCTCTTTGAACAACTAAACATTCATTAGTGAGCTTAAAGTAAATACATTGACAGAACTATAATTTTCTAAACTTCAATAATGCTTAAAAAACACGTGTGTTAACATAATTATGCAATATCAATCAGCAATATTTTTAAAGCTAATTGTATAATTATTTTTTTAAATAAATACAAAATCTATTTCTTACCTTGTTCATATCGCTATTAAAAACGAATCTTTGTTTATATGATCACAATTTTTCATTAAGAATAAAAGACATAAAGTATTATTACACAACTCATTTTCTGAGACTCTGAGTAGTGCATATTTCGTTTAATCACATTTCAGTTTTTCATCATAAATTCAATATTTAAGAAAGAGGAGTGAGGGTAACATAAATTATTAATTTATTAACCACAATAACCAAACAAAATAAAGATAAGATCTAATATAAAATGAAACATGATAAACTATAAACAACGCAATCTACATTGTTTTCTTTACATAGAACTAAAAATAGCAAGAAATATCCTTTGAATTTGCTAGCGAACAAAGAATTAAATAAATGAATAATAAATAATTATGCAATATTTATCGGTTAATACGTAACGGTTAACGGTTAAAATAAAAAACTTGGTATTTGACTTAATTAAGTGAAACTACAAATAATTATAATACTAAGGCCCTATTTAAGATTTTGGCGTAGAATGGCTACATGAATTATCCCAACTTTTTTTAGAATTGCTTTTTAAATAACATCGATGAGCAAAAAAAAATCAATATTTTTTCCCATCACAGATCAATGTTTTTTTCAATCTTCAATCGTTTTTATGATAATTTTAAAATAAAAATGAAGCAATTAAAAAATAAAGAACTTTTTACTACCCCTTCTAAAATGGATCTTCACGATTTTCGTCTATTTCCCATATTTCTTCTATGAACGCCTATTCTATAGTTTAAAATTCAGAAAACCCACTTATATTACAATTTAAATATATACTTAAAAAATGGGAAAAATAAAATATAGTCCTAAAATGCTAAAAAACCAACTCTAATCTTTTGTGGAAGAACATTGTTACTAAAACGAAAATAATTAAAAGTACATTTTTTTTTGCTGGGAAGTTATAAATATTTTCATGTTGATATCCTCCCAAGGACAAAATTTTATATCTTTAAGTTATTAAAATACGTATTCAATTTTCATAGGGGGATAGGAAATAACACTCCCCTTTTTATGAAAATAAATATATGATAAAGATGTATTTTGGAGGGGGAGTAAACAAATTACCTAATTATATTTTGCCACAAGACTAAATCTTGAAAACAACGCTGAAACTATGTTTTATTTGTAATATGAACTGGGTAATATAATTAATTATTTATTTATTCTGTGAATTAATATAAAAGAATGATTACTTATTATCATGTTAAAATAATATTTTTTATAGTAAAATCAAGGACCGTTACAAAATTATAATTAAAATTATTTTAAACTATTACCCCGTTGAATTACGGTATTTGGGGAATATTTATATTATTTTTATTTTTACTATTTTGTGTAAAGTATTTGAGGTATGAATAGCAATTTGTGAGTTATAAAAGTTTGTCAATTTTTTTTTATTTTTGAATTTTAACGTATTTATAACACCATTATTGGTATGCATTATCAAAATATTATTTACATTACATTAAATATTTCAATAAAATGATGTATTTTGACCTAATAAAGTATACTATATAGTATACACTACATTGTATGGTGTTGTTTATAATTTTTAAATTGTATACATTATGTTTGTCCTAAGTATAAATAAGAAATAAATGTTAATAAATAATGCTTTAAATTTACTCCTAAATAAAAACTTATTGATTAATTTGTATTTATGCTTTATTAAAAGCCCCCAATTTTTTACTCTACTCCTTCATTCTTAGTCCTGAGAAGGAGAGATGTGGATAAGGACTTACTGGGGAGCAATATGAGTAAAATAGCACCCATAGTAAAAAATCCTAGATTTGCCCCTGTTTGTAGAAAAAAGCGTAGGAAAACTATAGTTGTTCTCTACTCTTACCGTTACTGGTCGCTCATGTGGATATTTGTAGTCATGCCGTTGTTCACTTGTTGTTTAATGGCTATCTAATATCAGTTTAGTAATAGTTACGGCTCGTGAGTGTTGTGTATTGTGCAGTGCTTGTGCGTATGTATAAAATTACGAGATAGACAAATTAAACAAAAAACTAATATTTACACACCGTAGATAGTAATTATGATCTGTTCTTAAGCGTTTTTTCATTAGATATTGTGGTTCATGCAACACTAACAGGTTAGTTTTACAAAACTATTGTGTAAACTAAATTTTTTTAATTTATCAAACAAATTATAAAGTCAAGATGTGTACCATTTAAACTACATCGGATGTGCTGTTAATTTTATTTTAAATAGATTTTTATGCTGTCAAGTTTGTTAAATATTCTTTCAGTAATTTTCAAATGATCCACTTATTCCGCCATAAAGGTTTAATGTTATTTTAATATTCCAATCATCATATATTGAATAAATACGTCACATATAAAATATGTGTTTTGTATAAATGTTTACTCATTCAGCTATAAAATCACGTAATCTATTTTTAAATGATTCTATGATAGTTCAATTGCTGAGTTTGAATTTTTTTAAGAATGGATAAACTTGATACTGTTATTCCTATCATTATTAAAACTTGATTAATTGTTATTTATTGGTTAGGTTTTATTAATTACTAGTTAGCAATTGATTAATATGTATTTTTCAATTGGCATCTATACATTTTCTTGGCATTTGACTATGGTTTTTAAACGGTCATCTACAAAATACTAACTCAGTCAAATATCTTTATGCAAAATGTACTTTTTTGTATTATAAGCCTACAGAAATAATTTTTGGTTTTTTTTTGAAATATACGAATTTATTATTATCATGTACAAGCAGTAATATTTAAAATTAATGTTACAAGTATTTAAATTTATGAGTAATTAAGGAAAGGGAATGTCATAACCTTTAGAACGTTATTATCGCTGATGATGGAAAAAATAATTGAAAATTCATACTTTAAAAGATAGTGTAATTTGAATGACTTTATTATATATGTTTGTAAATTGTATGTATGAAATAAATAAAAACAAAAAAACGCGATTTACATTTTTTTGTTAAAAATAAAAATGAAAATATATATATATAAAATATATATAGCTGTATTTTATTTTTAATTCTTTTTCTTGATTTTTTTAAACTTGATATTGATTATTTTTGAAATTCTATTTAGAATAATTAAAGTTTAATGAAATAAATATGATTTTGTTTTAAGTAATTAATATAATATAACTTATTAATTCTTAATATCTTAAGTACTATTTTTCTTGAAATATGTTGTAAATATAATTGCAACAAATTTTTAAATATAATTAAAAATATTCACACTTACGTACTTAGAATTATAAAATTCTTGATAGAATTCCTTTATTACTATAAATTTCAAAATTTACAAAAAAATGCGAGTTGTTGAGCAACGTATAGTATAAAAACGTGTCATATCTCAAGTGCACATGTGTTATTGTACAGTTGGTTAATCACATTCTTCTAAAATTAAATATTATTACCCACTTACATTTTTCAATATAGGCACTTGAGTTACCATGGATGATGTCATACTCTAGGCTATTTGTGTTAAAATATACGTAAATATGTATTGTCAAATATTACTTCGTATTTCAACATAAAATAAATAATTATAATAATTAAAATTTTTAATCTAATAAAATAATAATATACTATATAAACAATAAACAGAAATTTTTTAACATAAAATTTATCTAAAATTGTTGACTTGATAAGAAGAAATGTGATGTGAAAAGGAGGGTTAAACATTTAAGAGTTACAGCAGATTTTTAAAGCAACTAATATGTTAATAATAGTTTTTAATAGTATCTCGGCTGACCTGAACATTTTGAATCCGCTATATTTTTATTACATAAGTTGTTACAAGCTTATTTGCTATAAGCAATAAATATTTGTCTTTCTAGGAGTTATAAAAAACAACGTTACCTCTAATTTATCTACAGAACTCAATAATAACACTACGAAAGTTTACCATTTAAAATATTCGTTTATTTTATGCGAAGCGATTTCTAGTGTTTTTTGCTGTTTTTCAGTTGTATTATTGCATGTAATTTTGAGTTATGGCGCTAATGCAAAAAAATAAAAACGTTGATAACTTTTTGATAAAAAAACCCATCACAGGGGGGTCGTGGCACAGTGGTGACGTTGCATAGTTAGATCAAGTATAATAATGATATCTGACAGTGATTAAAATCACTATAAAAAAAACGCTACGATGCAAATCTTTAAATAGTATTTAATTTTAAAAAATTGGTGGATTATTCCAAAAGCTACATGATCTGCTATTTTCTTATTAATATCCTAAATGAAAAAGGGATTATTAAAAAATATTATTTCTCATAAAAAATTGTATTGATCCATATATTTTTCAAAAAGTTATAGAATAATAAAGTTAAAAATGTAAAAAATAAAATCGAGAATTTTCACACGAAAATAGCATTCGGTAGCCATTTTCACCACGAAGACAAGTCCAGAGGTCAAATTTTTTTTTTTCCATAATAAAGTATATTACATTAGCTTTAATTTAAGATATATATAAAAGTGTCAGACTTTCCAAAACACTTTCAAAAGTTAAGTTGAAAAAGTTAATTTTTTGTGAAAAAGTTGTCATTTTAAATCTCCCCCCGTGGGCAGGTAAAGGGTCAGATATAAAAAAAAATATACCAATTGAAAGGTAATGATATCATGCATCTATATAAAAAAAATTATATTGATATGTTCATTTTTAAAAAAGTTACGGCAGTTTTTAGTAAAAAAAATTGAAAAAATTTCGAAAATTAGCGATTTTTAAATTTGTAATTTTTTTTGGAGGTTTCCCCATTTACGGGAAACGAGGGAAATTTTTTCAATTTTTGAGAGTAACGTTTTCGACTAGATACGATTTGTGATCTTTTGACGTATCGTTGAAAGAAATCCGTTCGGTGAGAGCTGAGAAATAGTGATAACAGACACAAAAAAAAAAAACACATCGTAGTAAAACCAATACCTTCTCAGCTTCGCATCGAAGCTAAAATAAATAATTTTTCGTTCTGCCTGTCTGCAATTGTATTTTCTATAACAACTCATATATTTTGTCGCTTGTGCTTTGCTGGTTGCTTACCAGGAGTATCATTTAAATTTTTTTGATACGCATAAATATCGTAGGTGCTTCTATTTAAGATGGGGCGAGGTGACTTTTTTTTATCTATTATTTTGGATTTTGAGGGGCTACGGTCAAATAAGATGTATATTGTGTGTTAATAATATATAATTTTAAGTATTCAAATGTATACTGCGAGACCCGCAAATGATACCCTGGATGCTTATTGTAAATAGGCTTATAGCAACCATTATATTGCATTAAAAGCAAAAATTCTCTAGTGTACAATAAATTTCATTTATGTTTTTATTTAAAAAAATGTTTTAATACAAATATAAAAATTAATCAAACAAAAGTGAAGGGTAGAGACAACTGCCTCTGCAGACGTCCATGATAACCGTCTTATAACAAATTACTATTATTAAATATTTTAATATTAAATTATACATTTTATAAAAATTAATTGTGTTTTAAATACGAAAATATGTTAATGCTTTTGCTATTCGATATGATCTTTTCTACAGCCGTCGCCTATTATACAAATCCTTGAACGTGATCACATAAATGGAATCAATTTTATTTTTATTGTTGTTAAGTGTTCTGAAGTGCTGTAATATGCCAGTCACATTCAATAGTACTTATAGAGTGCGGATGTACATCAGAACGTAATTGTTAGAATAGCAGTTTACGTCACAATTTAAACAAAAGAAAACGATTTCTAATCAATAATTATCCATACATTAAGTTGTATTGAAATTTTTATTAGAAGTATCGATAGTTTCTTTGAAAATTCGTTTGTTGGTATATTTAATTCTGTGACTGAAAATCAAAAAAGTATATTGTATCATAATTTATTTTTTAACGCTGCGACAGTTATGACACGATTACTTTTTAGTACATTCCGCTTGTTAAAATGAACTCATTTTTCATTATTTTCAAATTTGGTCATCGTCAAGGATTCTTATATTATTATTTAAAACTTTCATTGTTTGTAAGTTATGATCATATCAAATTTGAGCAAAATAATTGCTTCCTTAACTTCAATTTAACTAATGTTAAACCGTACTATATGACTTTACCTCAAGACCAGTGTTCTTTGTTTTAATGTTTTAACAAATGCACTTAAAATTTATATGAAAAAAATGTATTGCTGCGCCAGCATTTTAAGTATATATACGTTTTATAAATTTTTAGTGAAACTGTTTTTACAAATTACTGTCTTATTCTGAACAAATTATTGCTATAAGTATCAAAAAACACATTTTTATCAATAACAAAAAAAGTAGTCTTATATATAAAAGATGCTAATAGTAAGTTTAATATAATATACTTTAACCGTTTTATACCCATTTTGTTTTTCTTATAAATGCATTGTCAAAAACAACATACAATTTATATTTATTTTTTAATTTCTCCCGTTTACCGTTAGATATGTTGGTACATGTTTTATGTGTACATTTTCTGAGATTGTTTTCAACCAGTTCCGTGTTGTATAATTGGCTTTGAAATAATATAGTTATCATTAATAACAACAGATATTTAGCATAAAAGTTATGAAGAACAATTAGACCAAATTATATCATAATTTTAATTTTATGTAAAATATTATAAATTGTAATATTTAATATATTTAAGTATTCTCAATTCTTTGTTATTTAATATCTTAGTTCGAAATGCTGTTTCAATAACAACATAAATATAACACAGTGTTAAATTGGGGCATAGTCAGATCGGAATAAAAGAATTTCAATAGAGGGTTTTTTTCGTCATTTTGAGTTTATATATTATGACCAATGGAGGGACAAAGCCCTCATTGCCCCTCATTGGATTTCTCAATGTTGTATAATAACTATATTTACTATGCAACATAAATTATAATCAGATATCGTTTTCTAGAAAAATTTACTATCTACTTATGAAGTGAATAATTTCTCCTCCTCGATATTTCGGATAATTAATACCAGTAATGGTTGTAGGGTAAAGTTTCTGAAGAGGCACCAACCCATACAAAAGCGTAGTTTTGAAAGGGATAATCCTGACTACCTCTTACTTAGATGCTCCTGAGCATAAATTTTTAACACAAAATTAAA